TAAATATGCAAAAATCTAAATAATAATAATTTAAGAGTATTTTAACATTTATAAAAATATATATATATATATATTTATATTAATTTTTATTTATTTTTAGTACCCACAACATACATTTTAACTTTTTCGTATTCACTGTGCTTGCTTTAAAAAGTTTTGTCTAAAAATAAATATGCAAAAATCTAAATAATAATAATTTAAGAGTATTTTAACACTTATAAAATATGAATCTCTCTGGAAGTTTGATTTTCTGTAAAGGACAATTCAAGGGTTTATCTCAGAAAATACACACTCTGGAAGTGAAATTTTGGTTTGTTTTTACAGTGTGCCCCAACATAAAATTTGTGTAAGAAATAAATTTGTGTAAAATTACCACTACTTGTATATTTGATTAGATGTGTATTTTTTAAAAAGTTGCCTTATAACTTGTTAATTAATCCAGCCTGAAAATGACTATCAAGAATAAAAGTACTTTCTTAAACATGCATACAAGCCCACACATTCACACATACAATGTTGAGAGTTGCACAGCAACAAAATATGTAATCTGTATCTCTGATCCAAAGATTTACCTCTGAAGATCACAGACATGTACAGCAAAGAACTCTCTCTCTATATAGAAAAAGATCAGAATTTTCAAAATAAGATTTTCCAGTTAGTCATTGTTAAATTAATAATATGTAATTCAAAGAAATAGTTTTCTGATTGCTTCCTCTAGATCCAGGTGCTCCCAAATGAAAGGACATTTCAGCCATATTTTATATTCCATATATGCTTTTCTAAGAAATAATGATTAGTATATCATTTTTCCATATTTCACAGTACTCATTGAATATCCAACTTCATAGACCTAGTGATATATGCAGAAAATGATCAATTTATTAACTGTGGAACTCTGTCTGAAATTAGTTTGTTATATGAGGTCCATGGCTTTTAGGAAGAAAGGATAGCTCTTCTATAGGATCTTATTGTACCTCTTTGGTAAAACACATTCTTTGCATGTGCTCAGTCTTTGAGGTTTTTCAATAGGATTGAAGAAGAGGGTTGAAATAATGGAACTGATAATGGAGTAAAAAGAAACAATTTGGTATATGGTTTTCATATATATTTACATAAAGTTGCCTATTATATCCTAGTAATTAAATATCAGAAATAAGACTAAGAAAGTTATTGATCCAAAAGATTCCAGAAGTTTTCATTTGAATTAATAATGATGCTTAATTGTAAGGTCATTACTACCTTAACCTGGTGAGTGCTAGTATTCTGGTTAACAATATTTAATATCCCTTTTCACATGACTGTAACTAAGGAAAATAATGTTATGTTTTAGTCATGATGGCAAAGATCCAGCTTCAGACAGCCAGTGTCATGAAGTGATTAATATACTAGGCAAGGATTGAGAAGGCCCAACTTCTAGTCTACCTTCAGCTAAGAAAGGAAAATTCATGTATAATTATAGATAGTATTTGTTGTATTCAGTGGTTCGAAGGTCAGCAACTGGCATTCCATAAAGTTCTCTGCAAACTCATAGCAAGATTGGTTACAGTATTTATCTTTATCCAGGCTATCATTTCAACACTTATCTAGGTTTATCATTTCAACACTTTTCAAGTGTTGACAAGGTTCGTTATGGACTACATATTATATCCATATGGTCACATACATGTGCACACTCACACAGAGATTTTCAAAATAGTAGTTTTACAAAAATGATAAACACGTAATTCTTTGCACAAAGCATTAGAAAATACTGTGATATTTTATTATTAAAAATGCTGCTGAAAAGTTTATACATATGTGTCCAGCCATATATATCTTCTGTCCTTACTTAAGGCAAACCAAAAAGAAAAAAATGAAGAAATAATAACAAAAAAAACCCTGCGTGCCTCTTAAGGTTAAGAAGAAAAGTCTGGGATTTTTTTTTTCCTATTCTTTAAAGTATCCTTTGTCGTTATTATTATACAATCCTTTGAAGAGCCTAAAAATTTCCATTTATAAATCATACATCTGTCTCGATGTATTAAATTATTAAAGTGACATCATCTTCATTGATTTTTAAAAGCTAAAATCATTCACTTACAGAAATGGTTTTATCCAAATGTCACAAGCCTGACACATTACTGTACATATTGCTAGCAGAAAACAACTGGAAGTACTAAACAAATACCATAATTCACATAACAAACATACCCATCTGAATAAGATACCATCATTTTCCTTATTATTCCCCACTGAGTGATGAAGAAGTGTCATGTTTTAGACATGAAGGCAAAGATCCAGCTTTAGACAGCCAGTGTCACGAAGCGATTAAGATACTGGGCAAGGATTGAGAAGTCCCAATTTCTAGTCTGCCTTCAGCTAGGAAAGCTCACTAGGTGACTTTGTGCCAATCCCTACTTTTAAGACCAATCAATCTCACAGGATTGTTTTCATGGGGAAAAGCTGGAGGAGGGAATGTTATGTATGCTGCCATGAGCTCCTAGGGAAAGTGAAATATAAAACTAACAAAATAAATACATTACGATTACATTTTAAAAAATCAAGGAATGCATTGACTTCCCTTGACTATTGGGTAAAAATCGGAACTGTTAAAATTTTATTTGGGTCGAAAAGGAAAATATGTAATAATTTCATTTTCTAAGAAGGAAGATCATGTTAACAATTAATTCTATTAGGTCTCCAGCTGTTGTTTGCTACTCTAGGAACCTGTTTTTCTCTCAGAAACAGCATGAAGTTGTACATATATTCCATACTCCATACCCAGCAAAACATCAAAGTAGCTGTAAGTTAGAATAGCTTAAACTCTCTATTTTAAAGCAGAAGGCATCCTGTGTTACATTATGTGACATAACATCACATGTATATTTATTGTTATAAAGATGATAGTATAGCAGTATCGTGCCTTCCTCAATAAAAGAGAAAAAAAATAGAATGCACACCCAGGAAAGCTGTGATCTTGTGCAGAGCAACTGTGTTCAAATATCTTTGGTTTCTACCTTTATAAACCATTTGTAACTCACTAATAACAATTTCTACTTTTGTAATGTCTGATTTATTTTGTTGATTTATTTTCTTTAGAATTGTTTTTCAACTCTATACAGAGATGCCAGGCATATTGTTGGAACAGTTGCATTTCACATCACACTTCCCTGCATTTGTAGATGATGTGAATATTTTCTTATAGAATAATGATGAATTATGAAATGATCCAACTTCTTCAAAACAATTCGCCCATTATGCATTAATATGGATTCTCACTTGCTTTCCGTGGTATCAAGCTTAAGCTTGATTAAAATAGGTCAAAAGTTTTAGCTACTGATCCAACAAGAACTTAATGGAAAAATAATATCGCTCTTTGTCTAACTTGTGTGATCTCCATGTTCAACGTAGCTATATCAATTTTCCTTCTTTGCATAACCTTTTCTACCATCTGCTAGAGCAGGCAGAATCTTATCAAAGGAAAAAAAAACTGCTTTAGAAAGTAGGCTGTCTGAAAGAAGCAAAGGTTCATGGCACATAGGATACCAAGAACAAGATTCCTACATCAACTGAACAAGCTTGTTGAAATTCTTCCAATTTGCCTCTGTGTTGCAATATAATGGATGTTAACACAAAGAGAAAGGAAAATGGTGGGGTGGGGTGAGGGTGGAGAGATTTCTTTCCATTAAGGGAGGAAAAATAAAATCCTGTTCCCATCTACGGATGCTTTAACATGCATCTATTCAGCCTCTAAAGGAAAATCTAGCAGGCCACACAGTCATCTGTGTCCTTTGTATGCTACAACATGTTTTCCCAGAAATGAAACATTAGGAAAAATCTTTCGTGTTTGGATCATCAGTAGTAATTAAGAAGAACACCCTCCTTTAGGTCTGGGAGGAAACATAGGTGGTATGATTAATGCTTATACACATAGATCACAACTGAAAGCACAATCTTTCTAAAAGCTTTTTTCAAACTGAAAACATCAATAAAAGCTTCTTTTTTTAAAACTCACAGCTATGTACACTTTTTTTTTTTTTACAAAGTTCCTTAAATATAGTTCAGGCTGGCAAGTCATCTCTTTGCACAGAACTATACATATTTACTGCATAGTCAGTCCTATTTTTTTTAATAATAATAAAATCTTATTTCCCGATTCTGGATTATAGCTTCTTAGGATGGGTAAAAGCCCATGATGACGTCTTTTGTATAACAAGGGCCATTCATGGTATGGCACATATAGAACATCTTTTTTTTTAATTTTATTTATTCAAAGAAAAAGAAGAAGAAGAAACCCTATACAGTCACTGGCTCTGTGTTTCAAAAGTTCTGTTTCTGTTCATTACACTCAATATATATCCTTTTCTAGGAGACTTTCTTCAGGCCTCAACTCTTATATTCAATCAAAGTGGTTGAGATATTAAAGCGGAATCCTAATAGCAATGTACACATTTCACAGGGTTTGAGAGGGTGATCTTTCTTGAATATCAGAGTTCCTATGGAAAGGATCTGAAATTATGACCGTTCTGCTCTGTCACCTTTTAACTTTTCGTTTTCACAAACTTCTTGATGGAGAATATGAATCCCCCCCCCCCTTTCTTATGGTTAATCTTCCAGGTGGTATGTGATGGGTGAACGACTGAGCTATACTCTAGTGGTGGAATGTCCATGAGGCAAATTAGTACTGTTCTGTCCTCCACTGAAGGTGTTGAAAGTATGCAAAGGTTGCATTCCTGTTAATGTATTTGGAATCATGGTTATGGTATTGGGTGTCATGAGTGGAATATCATCTGGAGATCTTCTAAGAGTCAGGGTGTAATCAGGTGGACAGGTGAGTCTCAGGGTATCATGAGCTTGCAGTGACTCACAGTCATGATCATGCTCAAGCTGTTTCATCTGCAGTGACATAATTTCTTCATTCTGTATATGGGCAATATCATTGGTTGTGTTCCTTTGGGGACTGGGCCGTCTGTGTGTCTCATGACGTCGCTTGTCTTTCTTATAGTACAAGGCCGCAAATGCCAAAATGTTGAGGAATAACAATGATGCTCCTACAGCAATAGTAACACTTAGCTCCGTGGAATAATCTCTCTTGTTTTCTATCAGAACACTTGTATCCTCTGGAGAGGTTTTCTGGGTGTCTTTTGAATGCTTTGGATTGTTGCTTGGAGTCATTAATGGGCGTTTGGTAGTAAACTTCCCAGGAGAACGTCGGGTAACATATGGGAATGATGTCATATCAGGTGGTGGCACCTTAGTTGTAGTGGAAACATACTGAAATATTTCATTCAAATTGTGCAAGTGTGGTACAAGTTCTAACCAGAAAGCAACTTTTGTTGCTCGGTAGTGATCTCGAACTCTGGGTTTCAAACCAATGTGCAGATAAAGCTGGTCTTTTGGGTTGTATTTAGACCAAGCAACTTCTTCAAAACGATTAGGCTTTGTATGGATGAATTTTGTATCTTGGGGAACAGGCTGGTTTGGATCCCTAAAAGTATACAAATAAATAATATTAAAAACAATCAACTTACATACTTAAATATATTACAAGAGCTAAAGTCAATTTCGTTACAGTCATTACTTGATGATATTTTGAGTTTCAAGGTTATGACTAATAGAGTCCAGTCGATTTAGATCAGAATACTTGACCAAAATATATGCTCTGATTCATTTTATAATACTTGCAAAATGAATTGTATATTTGCCTAACATATGAAAGGAATACTTTAAGTTATTTTTTTTTAAGGCAAATATTCAGGAATTTTCAATAATAGCTCACAAATGCAGATTTCAATAAAAGGCATGGACACAGGCATCCAGAAAGTGGGTAAAATGTCAGGTGTGAAAGACCAGCTCTACATGTGAAGGTTCAATTAAACTAATTTATTGCTAAAAGGTTATATACCTGCTTAGAGTTAGATAAGGTTGAATGACACGGATCTGGACTTTTTTTATGGATATGTATGGATTCTAGGCTGTTTCCCTTTTCACTCCACCCCAGGTTCTGCCATCCCTTTGCCTATATTAAGGGATAAACTATGAATTGTGACAGCACTGAACAAACTTCATGACTTGGCAACTTGAATCTGATTTGGGATTCTGGTATGAAAAATGGCTATTTCGTGATGTTGAGTGGTATGTTTCCTCAAAATTGTTTGTCATCTATTATCTCATCACAATCTAACAGATTCTCAGTTGCCCACATACATCCAATTAAAATATGTTTATCAATAACCATAAAATACATAATGTCAAGGAGGTATCATGATTTAAATGCTCTCTCTGAAAGAGCCCAGTTTGCAATATATTCAGAAATGGCATATGCACTTCCCCATGCAGGAGGTCATTCCAAAGGGCCAGAACTGCCACTGAAATGTTAACTCTCCACAACCTCTTGAATGTAGAGAACTATCTGCTGCTTTTTCTAACATGATTATAACAGAAGATGTAGCTCTCTAGATAGCTTGGCACTAAGCCATAAAGCATTAACATCAACACTTTAAATTTTACCTAGAAGCTTATAGGCAGTTAATGCAGGCTTCACAAGACAGGTATAATGCGCTCCCAACAATAACTACTGATAAGTGTCCAGTCTATACTAGATGAAGCTTCAAGTAAGTTTTTAAAGGTAATAACCATTATTATTATGGCTTATGTAAGCTGCCTATGAATATAGAAATCTTTTTTTTTAAAGGCTAAAAATGTCAAATCTTGAAAGTTGTAATTACAGTGTTGGAAATCTCTCTTTATAAAAACTAAGAATTGAAATAAAGACCATTAAAGGTTTTGAGAATAGAATGGATTCTTTTTTCTATCTTCTCTATATGTACATATATTCACATTTCCTTGTCATAGGAAAACTGGTCCTTCCTTGGGGTTTCATTTTAATTATAGAGGGCTGTTATGGCAAATCATTATAAATATTTTTTGCTATGTTAACTATTGTTTTTGTTGGAACAGCAGCAATTTGTATTAATGGCTACTGAAATTGAACATGTTTCCAATGTCAATAATTAGACCTGAAAATATAATTTATATAAAAGCTGCAACTATATTCCTGCAACAAATTGTTTCAAGCAAAGGTATGAAACCTGCTATAATGCAAATCACCAAAAATATAAATATAACTTTATTTGAAATTACTCAGGCTACATTCTACATTTCCCATTCAGTTACCCTTCCAAAATTGGATTGTACAATGTAGATATCTATTAGATTTTGCCACTGGCAATACATGTTGAGAAAAAAAAAACCCAGCATATGTGAATTTCTGGTTTAGATTTATAGAGTGTTAGATCTAGAGTTTTAGATTTCTGGTAAATATATAGATCACATGTGATCTGGCCTATTATAGACTATCAACTCTGTTTCTACTTTAATTGGATCCAGTGTAAGGTATGGATGATGTGATGTAAAAAGTGCTTGGTTTACATACACAAAACAGTTATAAATGTTTTTGATGGGAAATTCTTATACCATCCTAAATATTTTTACAGTGGTTTTTCTGCTCAATATAGAAGATTTCTTGTATGGTTTCTATTAAATAGGTTTCAAGTTTCTTGCTTTGATTTTCATGTTTTGACTATGCAAAATAAATAAAGAAATGGCATCTATCTGCCAACCTACTGTCTACCAAACACACACAAAAATGCAAAAAACTAATTCTGCTATATATAAAAATAGTTATGGATTTTGGCATTTTAATTAATCCCTAGAATTTAATTCAGCTTCAGCTGTATAAAATGGCTCTTGCTTAAATCAAGTTCTTCCCCTAAGAGAGAAAGGGTTGATACAAATGGGTGGTCCAAAATTTAAAGGTAACAAAACAAAGAGAGGAAGAAATATTTCAACTTCAAGTTGTGGCTCTGTCATTGTTAGGGATGACCTGAAAGTTCTTACATTGGATTTTCCCCATTTTGTTTACTTAAGACAAAACTTGTAATAAGAACTGAAAATGCATTCTGGAAACAAGACAGAACTCCTAGATTTCACGTAGATACAAAGTGCTGTCAGCTTTAGTTGAGTAAAAGAGATGAAAAGAAAACAGTAAAATTTCTCTTGCTAAGTTCTTCTACATAAATTGAAGAAAATTCCATGAAGTAGATCAGTCGGATTCATTATAATATCCTTTTATTAGCCACAGTAACAATTGCTTCACCCTGTTTTAGAAGAATTGAAGCAAAACAATTTTTATTGTATTGTATTATATTAGTATTTTATATTTTTTTTAATAAAACTCTAAACTGTTGCTGAGGTAACAATTACAGATATGTCTTCAAAATTGGACAAATATGTGAATATATTTTGTCCATTGCAACTATTGTGTTCAGTATTCTGTCTTCTGTTATAAGCTTTATTATTTTTTCCTCTGGTTTTTCTTGGCATATAAATTCTTTTTCAATAAGGTGGTAAGGTGCATACTGTATTACATTGAATTGCACTGAATGTTCTCTCTCTCTCTCTCTCTCTCTCCCTTCCTTTCTCTTCTGTATAGGTAAAATGTACCTGTGATTTTAAATATCCATAACTACTGTAAAATTCTCCCAAGGTTTTTTATTGTTTACTATTGTTAAAACTATAATTTAATCTTAATAAAATTTTATATTAACCTAATAAAATTTTCCTTTTCATAAGATCTCCTAGCATTCATAAGTAACTCATCATGCTTATACAGTATCTGAGATACTCACTACAGGTAGTCCTCGACTTACAAAAGTTCATTTAGTAACCGTTTGAAGTTACAAAGGAACTGTAACAGTGGTGGGTTTCAAAAAAATTTCCTACCGGTTTGGTGTGAGCGCGTGCTTTGTGTGTGCATGCCAAACGTATGCTTTGTACGCATGCAGCATTTGCAACTCGCCTGCTGCTACAAGCCCTATGTGTAAAACAGCTGATGCGTGGCAAATGGCTGTGCTGCACGAAGCAGCTGAGGTTGAAAAACAGGAAATAAAGGTAAGAATATAGCCAGGGCAGGCAGGTGGGCTCAGTAGCTGATTGTAGGAGTGAACTGGTTCGCTCACAGATGATCCTCAGAGCTACCAGTTTGGCCAAACCGGGCCGAACTGGTGGAATACCACCACTGCACTGCAAACACTGACTTATGACTGTTTTTCACACTTACAACTGTTGTAGCATTCTTATAGTCCCGTGATCAAAATTCAGATGCTTGGCAACTGACATGTATTTATGATGGCTGCATTGTCTCGAGGTCATGTGATTACCTTTTGTGACCTTCTGATAAGAAAAGTCAATGGAGAAGCCAGATTCATTTAGCAATCATGTTATTAACTTAACATCTGCAATGATTCACTTAACAACTGTGGGAAGAAAGATCATACAAGGAGGCAAAATTCATTTAACAAATGTTTTGCTTAAGCAACAGAAATTTTGGGCTCAATTGTGGTCATAGTTTGAGCACTACTGTATTGGACAATTCATTTAATCTATGTATTTTGTTTTACAAATATGCAAATTGTGTATATGTTTCTAATCAAAGAAGTATATTTCTTTTGGGAAAAAAGTCACTTTGTTCTAACTCAAGTAATTATATGCATTCTACGAGCACAGTTGGTATCCAGCCAGTCAAATTCAGAAGATTCTGTAAAAATCTAATATCTACCTATTTATTTTTATGGGGAAAATGGTTGGAAGCCAAAGTGGGATTGATCTATCTATTTATTCATCCATACATCCATTTTCCATCCATCCAAAATGCAAGAATACTGTTTAAATTTAGGAGTCAAGGAAGGAGGAGCACATATATCACTTTTTAGTGTAGAGAAGGATATGTTCCCTTCTGATTTCTTTGTGGAACAGAAACAATTGCTTGCTTTTTGTGATATGTACTATGCCAGTCTGACTTTTTTAAATCCTATGAAATCCACTTAAGCTCCTGAATGAATCAGGACACTGTGTTTTTCTCTAAACTGTCCAATATTGCTGCATACCATTTTCTGCACTGCAGTAGAGCTGCGGTTCTGAAAGCTCGGATTTGCCATAAAGGTTCATTGGAAAGATTTATGGGCCCTTGGTACACTGCAAGGACCTTTCTTAAAATTCAATACTAAGACAAGAAAAGAGAATGAAAAAGAAAGTTTCAAAACCTGAAACAAAACAACAACCATCACTGCTATTTAAAAGGGGAAATACTACATTATTAATTAAGATATTTATATAAAATGTTTTCTGTTTGCTTTACCAATAAGTTCCTTTGATCTACTGCAGCATTATGTTCTTTTCATATGCTTCAAAAATATATTGGGAGCTTTCACATTTAAGAAACTAAATATTAATTTTAAAATTAATCATATACCATCCTAGATGAAGAAACAAACATATATAATTATTTCTTTTATATCTTTTACCCCATCTTTAATTTTAAAAAGGCAACCAATTAATTCTATAAAGAAACCACAGTGGCAGTCTGGTTAAATGAGTTTTTTTCTTTCTTTCTTTTTTCTTTCTTGCCCTAAGTGTCATGGGAATATGCAATGGTGAGAAAACAGGGCTGAAACAAACAAACTAACCACAATCAAATGTGCTTGATTACTGAATTATATTTTGTATTGCTATTCTTCCAAATAAATGTACTTTTATTGACAGAAGTTGGATAGCAAGAAATGTGATCTGTAGTCTTCATAATACCTATGAATGGTGAATTTGCTTTACTGCCTTGCTTTTTTTAAACTGGGTTGGTGGGACAAGGCCTATTTTTGATAGAGATGATAAGTTTGACTGTACACATGTGTGGACTGTACCTTCCAAGATCTTGAAAGCTATTCAGAATAATTTGTAAAATAAAATAATAAAATAATGAATCCTAATCCTTCTACATACATGGGGTCATATTCTCCAAAATCTCCAGCACCTTCTTTTAAGCTAGCCTTGCTTGTATATTATGTTTGGAAAATACTGCTTTCCTTCTATAGCAGGGTGCCCTCTGTGAAACAAGGGCCAGTCCAACGAGAAGGATTTTATAAGAATATCAAAAGAGAAGCTTTTATCATTACCATTATATCATTATAAAGGAACAATATGCTTAAAATGTTAAGTGTCATCCTACCCTGTTTTGGCGAAGTTTGTCCAATAAGTCATAACAACCGCACTGAGCATGACATCATTCTTTGAAAAGTTGCAGTTGAATAATTCAGTAGGACCGATCATGGGGATACCAAACACATAAGGGACTTCATCACCATGTGCAGAATCAGCCCAACTGGGTTTCATTTCACTTTGGCAGTGGTGATAAAATGCATAGAAGTATGTTGGAGAACCATATTGAGCATGGAGGTCTGCTGTGGCAACAGCTGGTGCAACCCATTGGTGATCAGTAAAAAGTGCCACCAGGGTCTTCCTTCGTGTTTCAGGATTCTCCTTGTCTGCCCAATCTGTGTACATGAATTTAATGGTTTCTCTTAGAGTATCTTTCCCTTCTGGATAACCATATAGATTGTCCACAAAATTAGATACGGAGAAATCAAAATCATTTGGAGATATGCCTTCTTCATTATCCACAATTCCATCTACAAATTTTAAACCTTCTCCTTGGTTTACACCTAACATTATATCATAGTTGAGAAATTCTCCCTGTTCCATTAGAATCTGTGGATCATCTGGAATTACATCCCCATCAATCACAGGCCCAAAGGCAATGTGGTATGTAGCTGGTGTGATTGTTTGCTGAATGAGTTCTTTGTAGTTCTTATTCCGAAAGCATTCAACTAAGTCTGTAGTGTCCAAAGTGTTGCAGCCCACTTTTTCTGCCAAAATTGCAGTGTACTTGGCAGGCTGGTAATTCACTGCCCAGCTGGACAGGGCTGTTCCACTTTGAATGATTGCTTTTTGGAACAGACCTGCAGGTGCAAAAGTGAAAATTAAAATACACACACATACACAAAAGACAAAGCAAAAGGAATATTTATGATATCAAGAAGAAGCACTGATTAAGAGAAAGCACAATTCATTTTGCTTAGAACAACGACAACAAAACATTATTGCAGTCCTCTTGCCAAATGGTAGCTATATTTCCTCTCAAATTCAATGTTCATTATATAAAACATGAAAAATCCAGTGTGAATATTTAGGAGATGAAATTATTTCTGAAATGTGTAGCACATTGAAATAATTGACTCCAATTTTCACTGAATCCATCTATGGAGCCAGATGTTAGTGTTTCTTCCTAACATAGATACAAGTTGATAGCAATTGTTAACTGGCAACATTAACTTTTTCATTTAAAAAAAACCCTGTAATGCTTTTGAAATTTGTATCTGGACTTTGCTAAACTTCACAAAATCTCTTATACATAAGCTACTTCAAACAGAGAAACAGTGATTTTACAATCGAGTCTGAAGATTTTATTCAAAGGAGTAATTCAATCAACTCAATTTTAAATGTAATAGTGGAATAGAATATTTCAGTAGAGTATTGTGCAGTCTAGCACAAATTTATATCTTCTTTCTTCTTTTGCAATATGCATGGTTGACCAATTTAACTGCAGCAAAAGCTTTTTGGGTATTTTTGCTGTATTTTTTAAAATGGAATTTTAAAATTACTAATTTTATTTAGTAATGAAGATCATTAGATCCTGGTTAGTTTATTGATTTACTCCATATATTACAAAAACACTTATTGTCATGACCTTTAACTGGGCAAACAGTGCGTCATAGGGCAACATTTTTTAAGCCAAGGGACCTCAAATGGGCTAATATACAGAATGCATTCCAAATCTGTGACCTATGACTCCCGTGGGAATGAAATTTGGAAAAGTTGTGGCTGCTTCATTGCTATTGGTTGCTGCTGCACTACTGGACTGAAGTCACTTCTGCTACCACTGCTGGGTTTTTTGCCCATCCTTAGTCATTCTGTTTCTCTGAAACAATGATCCATCAGGCCATATGTGTCTAGTATTACATAAAAGCTATTGTTTTTATTTTAAAAATTGGAACTGAAAACCTAGTACAATTGATATAATACTAATTCCTAAGATGCTGATATCGTACAAGTAATCCTTGACTTACAACCATTTGTGACCATTAGAAGTTATGGACACACTGAATAAAATGAATTATAACTGTTTTTCTACTTATGACCCAACACATCTCCATAGTTATATGATCAAAATTCAAACACTTGGAAACTGGCATATATTTATGAAAATTGCAGTGTCTTGGAGTCATGTGACAGCTTTTAGTGACCTTCTGACAAGCAAAATCAATGGAGAACTCACATTCACCTTACAACTGCATCACTAACTTAACAACTGTAGTGTTTCACTTAACAACTGTGGCAAGAAATGTCGTAAAATGGGGTAAAATTCACTTAACAAATGTTTCAGTTAAACATAAATTGTGGTTGTAAATTGAACATTATCTGTAGTAGTTTCTGGAACTAATTCCTACTGTTTTTGCAATCCATTATTACTTTATAGAGCCTTGATGGCTCAGTGGTTAGAGTGCAGTACTGCAAGCTACTCCTATTGCAATTTGGCAGATCGAATCCCACCAGGCTCAAGGTTGACTCAGCCTTCCGAGGTGGGTAAAATGAGGGCCCAAATTGTTGGGGGCAATATGCTGACTCTAAACTGCTTTGTGAGGCTGTAAAGCACTATAAAGCAGTATATAAGTCTAAAGCAGTATATAAGTCTAAGTGCTATTGCTATTATGACTACTAAAATCATATTATTTAACATGGAAAAAGGTTACCTTCTGAATAGTGAGACAATGTCAAGAGACTAACACAAGATGCTCCAGCTCCTGATCCAAAAATTGTAACTCTTTTTGGGTCTCCTCCAAATGATCCAATATTTTCTTCAATCCATCTCAGAGCTTGAATTTGGTCAAGTAATCCATAATTGCCTTTTGCTGCTTGGTCTCCAGTACTTAGGAAACCTACAAATTCAAAAAGAAAGAAAGGAAGGAAAGAATACATTAAACGCACTGGTCAAGGAATGAGTTATAGGGCATACAAATAAAATCTTTTCTTCTTCAAATTTTCAAACGCTTATGGTTCAACTTAAATGTAATTAATAAAAGCTTTAAGGATCCAATTATTTTTCCTGTCATAGAAAAATGCATGAAGTGTGGCAATTTTTATTTCTTTTACATATATTTTCCTATAGTAATTACAATATTAAGAACAGTATGTGTGTGTGTGTGTGTGTGTGTGTGTGTGTGTGTGTGTGTGGTATTCAGCTTTGTTTGGGTATTTTCCCACGTCATTATAGTTGTGCTTTTAAAGTTGTAGCAACATTTCGGCAGAATCTCATCTGCCATCATCAGGCTTCTGTATTGTGTTCGTCTGTGAGTCAGACTTTCACAGCCGTTTCAGTTTTAAATTTGGGGCTAGCCTACTGCTGTGCCAGAATGTTTTTTTTCTTCATCCTGATTGGTTGGGAGTCTTGGTCTGTGTTTATTGGTCTTGGAGTTTGCTGTGTTCTGCTTGATTGGTGTTTCTAATATCTTCTGTCTGTTTTGTGGCTTTTTTTGTCTTGATTGGCTGGCAACATTGTGTTCCTGTATTGGAGGCTTTTAGTGCAGCTTGGCTCTGAGTAAATGGACGGCTATCATTTATTAGGAAGCTAGGTTTCATCTGGGTGCCTGGTTGGGGTGTGTTTGAGCTGGAGGTATCAGGGGGATCTGTTTGTGCCCAGGTGTTTGCCTGGCTTGTGGTGTGGAGATTTGTTTGTTTGTGAGTGCAGGCTTCCAAATAATTGACAGTCTGGTGGAGTCATCTTTTCTATTCATGCTTTCTGGTCTTTTTTCAATCTCTGTGGCTTCTCTGATAATTCTGTAGTTATAGAAAACACCAGCTACATTTGTGTTTTAATGGCTTGGGTAATGAGTTGAGTGATGGGCTTGAAAGTTCTTTTGTTGTGGTATCCTGGGTCCTGCGTTGTAATCTCCTGGGTCGTTTGTGTTTTGATCTCTTTTCCATTAACCTCCTGTGTAGTGATGGCTTGGGTAATGGGTTGTGTGATGACCTTGTGAGATTTATTGCTGTGGTATCCTTGGTCTTGTGCTGTGATATCCTTGGTCTTGTGCTGTGATATCCTGGGTCATTTGTTGTGCTGCAACTTCTTGAGTTCTTGTGGTATAATTTCCTGAGTTTTCTGATGTGATGTCCTGAGCGGGTGGCTGTGATGTAGCATTCCAGGTTTTAGTCTGGCTTTGAGTTTGGGGTCTGGGTATGTGTTCTTGGCATGTGTCAGCTTGTTTGGTTTTGGGGTCGGGGGTACGACAGCTGGTGAAGCAGCCGTGGTCTTTTTCTGGATGGTGGTTGTCCTTCCTTTATAGGATGGGCTTGGGCCTGGGTCTGATGAGGGGGATTGGCGGTGGTGTCCCATGTTGTTTTGGGTCTGGTGTTGGTTTTCATGGCTGGGACTCGTTTGTTGGTGAGGGCTAGCTTCTAGATATATGGTAGGCGGGAGGTATCATCCCGTCTATTCATGTTATGGGGGTGTTTCTCTATCTCGATGGCTTCCCTGATTATTCTCTTGTTGGAGTGTTGGGTGTTGGATATTAATTTGGTTCCTTCAAAATTAATTTCATGCCCTGTGGCTTTAAGGTGCTGGAAGAGGGAGGAAGTATTTTCTTCTCTTCTGACTGCGTTTTTGTGTTCTGCAATGCATGCATTTATTCTCCTGTTGGTTTGTCCAATGTATGTGGCTGGGCAATTGTTGCATGGTATTTCATAAACTCATAAAAATGGTAAGGCAGATAGGAGCTAACAATTTGTGAAGCCTAACCCAAAGACATATTTGTGAGATCCAATCAAATCCAGTTCTTTCTAGGAAGGGAAGAATATACTGTATGTATGTATGTATGCATGTATATACATATATGCATACATACATACATGCATATATACTTTGGGAGACAGGGTGCTACTATCCTGAAATTAGTCCTCCCTCCCCATCTAGTTCACTGCACAATCTCTTGTCTTGGAGTCATCTTTGGAATTATCTCCTGCCTTGGAAGCCATGGTGCTACTGCCAACTTCCTCCTCCTAAAATTCCTTCTTCAGCTACACTTTCCATCACACAGCTGTTGGGATGGAGTGAGGTATCATCAGTATGGGATGGGCAAGAGGAGAAACAAGTGTAGACTTAATTACATATTTCTTCCCCAAATCCCAGAAACTTTAACCTTAGACTTTCTACTATTGACCTCACCCCTTTCTTAAGAGGTCTGTAGGGGGCATGCATAAGCACACCAACGTGCCTACCGTCCCTGTCCTATTGTTTCTTTTATTTTTCTTATATGTATCCATGTATTCTTAACTATGATTTACTTATACCTATTATCTTGTAAGCAATTTACAAACCAAATAAAATAAAAATAAATAAAACATATAGTAAGCATAGCAACTATTTCCAAACTTTAATGAAACATCTGAATATCCCCCTGGACTCACAATTTATGCATGAATAGCAGATAGAGACTATGACCTTTGCACAGTCACATTTTGTGTCCCAATTGTGACTATTTATGAAAAAGAAAACATTTCTCTAGGTTATGATCTTGTCGTCTAATGACTAGACGACTACAGTTTGTTTTCTATCGGACAGTCCTTGAAAATTGTATGTGAAGGTTCTGATTCAGCACACAGTAGCAAATGTAACACCAGTTAACAACAATGGAGTCTACATTGGCTGCCATCTGAAGGAAAGCCATGTAAAGGGGTTCTATATTCAAACTGTTCAATGGGGGCCTTCTACCTTGGGACATTAAAACCCCCAGGTATTATATTTTTGAAAAACCATGAGCTACTTGGGGAGACTTGATCATTTTTCTGTTTGTTTTGTGACATTATCTTCTTCTTATAGGGATGTCATTGATTTTTATGTTTTCATTTTATATTGCTAATTTTAGGCTGCTCCCAGTCTTTAAAAGCATGGAAAACACCTACTGACAGCATGAATGTAAAACTAGCTGCTAAGAATAATAATTCATAAATTCATTTGATTCTCTATCCTCTTTAGTAATGCACAAAATAGCAATTATTTATGGACTTAGTAAGAGGTAAATAATGATGAATAGACCTGCAAAGTAGGTCTATTTAAATAGGACAAGGTTTGAGCAAGAATGTAGGTGAAACTAACTTTGTTACTTTGGATACTGAGACTTCAGAGATCCCTTAGAAACAAACCAGAGGACTCCCTGCTCCCCACAAGAATGGGGAAAAGATGTAAAAAAAGCATCTGGCTTCCTGTCATGCAAACCCCATTTACACTTTTATCTTGTTATCAGATTTGAAAATGGAAATGAGCCATGTTTGCAGGTGGCCTTGCAATTCAGAAAGCTGTCAAATTCATAGGCTTCAGATTTGCTTTGATTTGCTGAAAGCAATTCACTTGGAACAGTTTGAATTCCACAGTATATAGCTCGCTAAGTCCTAATTTATCATTTTTATTTTCAAATTCTCAAGTTTGATTTTTTAAAACTTTTACATCACAAGCATTATTTCTACAAGCCCTTTCAGAATTGTTGCATTAATGTAAAATGTAGTGTAACTGATGGAAAATTCAGACTTCATCACTCCCGCTTGAAACACTTGTAGGCACCCAACAGTTAAAAAGGTGTCATCCATTAGTATTTGTAAATTATCATAACTGTAAATATAGAGCAAGTTGTCAACTGGAAGATAAAGATATTTTTGAGAGTTTTCTGTTTCACAGAAATATTTTAACGTTATTGTTTGGTATGGATGGAAGATTGGTGACTCTGAGAATAGGAGATTATTTGAGTTGAAAGGGCATTATTTGACATTTAAGTGGCCTGCCTACCTAATGTAACACAAAGTTAAGACTAATATACATTTTCAAAATCATTTTGTTAGGCATGCCATATTGAAGGTTTGGAACAGGTTTAGAGCAAGATTGAGTCCCAAAATTCTTCTATAATTGTCATTCCAAGAACCATTTCTAGAAAAGAAATGATAATCACATAGGGTTGATTGACCTACACTGATTAGTAGATTTTTTTTTTGATGGAATACTTAGAAATGCATTGGAAAAAGTGGCTTTTACTTTACTTTCACTTTGTCTGTGATTTGTTTATGATCAGTTGACACAAAGATTTAAATTGGATAAGAAGAATTTTGATTTTATAAATGAGAAAAAAAAACCAATTCCGATCTAGATCTGTGAACCAATTATGAACATGCTATTGCTAATATGTATAAACTTTTATTGAAAATGAATATGGAAGAAGAATATGTTAAATACTGTAACACTAAATTGGTAAAAATTGACATAATATAACATTTGATCAATATGAGTATATGTGGAGTGTGAATTGAAATTCATACTCAGAGGTGGTATTCAACAGGTTCTGATCAGTTCTGGAGAACTGGTAGAGGAAATGTTGAGTAGTTCAGAGAACCAGCAAATACCAGATCTGACTGGAGATTTTACAGTATCCTTCCCCTGCCACGCCCACCAAGCCATGCCCACAGAACCGGTAGTAAAAAAATTTGAATCCCACCACTGTTCATACTGAATTATAACTTGAAACAGAATATTTATAAGATGATATATCATTGGTTTTTAACACCTGATAAATTATCAAAGATGTGTAATGGTGTGTGAAATACCTACTGGAAATTTAATCAGTCTGAAGATATTTTTTATCACCTTTGATAGTCATGTAAAAAAGCTAAGTATTATTGGGATGATATATGTATTTTAATTCAGAGAATTCTTTATAGAAATGTACAACTGAAATCCAAGGTTTTTCTTTAAATTTGATGGATTAGCAAAAAAAGAATATTGGAACTGAAGCACCTTCTTGGATGTGAAGTGAAATGTTGTCAAGAAAAGACAAAGAAAGTCTGCTTGCCTTTTGAAAAAACACTTTTGGGACAACATAGGACTTTATTTCTATGATAG